CCGAGAGATAAACCATGTCTTTCTTCAAGAAACTCACCAAGGAGTTCGAGGAACTCAAGACCTCCTTCTCCGACGACAAGCCCGCCGAGAAGAAGGACGATCAGCACCAACAGTACCAGCAGCAACAGCACCAGCAGCAGCCTCAGACCGGTGAGTAAAGAATTTCCGCTTCAGTCTCTCACAGTTACACCACAACGAACGGAATGAGGGAAAAGAGAATAAAGTCTCCAGATTTATTCAACGGTCATAAATCATGTACTCATCCCTCCTACCTTGTCACTACGGCCCTGCCTATTTCATCGTCTTCGCTTGACCGAACCATCTTCTGCCTCTTTGACCTCTCGATATCATATAGATCCAACAAATCCGTCATCGTTGTCGTTGCGTTAAGGTTACTGACTCACGCTTCTATTTAACTAGGCGAACGCGGCTTCGGTGTTCCCCCCCAGCAGCAACAGTACGGCGGCTACGGTAGCGGCGCTCCTCCCTCCAACTATCCTTACCCCTCGCAGGCACAGCCTCAATCGGGCCCGGACCACGGTTACGGCGGCCAGCCCAGTTACGCCCAGACGCCGCCTCCGGCTCCCCAGTCTGCCGCGCCCCCCATGGCCGCTCCTTCCGTCTCGAGCGGCTGGTTGGTCCAGTGGGACACCAACAACAACCGCTGGTTCTACGTCGACCAGAGCACCGGCCGTTCCCAGTGGGAGCACCCGTCCCCTCCTACCGGCGGCCAGGGCGGCTCCTCCTACGCCCCGCCTCCCGTTCCCCCTCACCCCTCCTCCGACACTAGAGGCTTCGGCGACCAGGGTAACGGCTACGGCTCCCCCGCTCCCCAGTACGGCGGCGCTCCCGCTCCCTACGGCGGCAACCCCAGCTACGGCGGTTCTCCTGCCCCCTATGGCCAGCCTCAGTACGGCGGCGCCCCCGCTCCCTACGGTCAAGCTCCTTATGGCCAGGACCCGTACGCTCAGGGCGGCCAGAACCCGTACGGCACCAAGGATAAGGAGAAGAAGAGTGGCAGCAGCGGTATGCTCCTTGGAGCTGCCGGCGGTCTCGCTGTCGGTGCCGTTGGTGGCGCCTTGATTGCCAATGCACTCGGTAAGTCAACACCCCAAGGATGTTTTTGTAATATGACATCTGCTTTTCGTTCTTCCTTGAGGTCAAACCACTTACAATTACTGCACAGACGACTCGGATGACGAGCACAAGGCCGCGGCCGCCCCTGCACCTCAACCGCAGTACGGTGGCTACCAGCAGGATCCTTACGCAAACTCCTACAACGACCCCAATGCTCCTCCTGGTGTGCTCCCTGCCACTGACGCCGATGGCTCCTCCGTCTCTTCCAGCGATCGTGAAGATGTCCAGGAGGCCAGAGAGGAGTACGAGGAGGCTCTCGCCGCCGCTGCAGACTCGGATGCCAGCAGTAGCGACCACGAGCGTCTCGAGGAGGCCAGAGAAGAGTACGAGGAGACGTACGAAGAGGTTTACGAAGATTAGACGCGCATCTTAGCTGCTTCGGCATGGAGTGTGCGCGCGGTCAGAGTGTCAAACCGAACTGCGAGACTTGCTATGACGACTTGACGAAAAATGTGGTGGCACGGCATTGCGTGGCAGTTAGGATGGCCTCCAGAGGATATACACGGCTTGGTGGTTTTCGGGACAATCGTTCGTTACGTCATCTCATAGCTTGCGAGACCCATAGCCCCTGAAATTCAAACGCGAGACGCAGTGTTGGTCTCTGCGTAGTTCATTCATCCAGGAGTAATTTGAAATGTGTGAGACACTTGGTGGATGTCCCGTCAGTCAATAGAAGATCGTGACGATGTGGAGGGGAGGGGCCAAGGGCAAGTCGACATCGACTTCTTCTTGCCTCCTTGACGATGGCTGCTGAACAAGTCAAGAGACCGACTATGCAAATGATGAAGATCAATCCGTCACGCGACCCAACGCGAACATCGCGTCCCCCTTGGAGCCTCGGTCGAAAGATGATACCAGACTAGTAGACCAGGGCAAACCGAGATGATGGTTCGGGAGCCGATCGATAACGCAGGGAGGAATATGCCAGGCGTACCTTAATCCTGTTGGTTCCTGTTGGTTCCTGGGCTCATCCCGCACTAGGCAAAGAGATGGTAGACGAGATGTTTCAGTCATCCCTTGGATCGTCGGCCGATGGCGGCCTGCGAGACATAAGGTACTTGTACAATATCGACCACGGTACTCCCGGAGGATGGGTAGGAACCAATCGTGTTCTTCGAATTCGCGCTTCAGCGGCGGCGTCGGCTTCGTCGCCGAGCACTATTGCTTTTTGTGATTTTCTCTCTTGAACCCACAGTGCGTAAAGAAGTGGTGATGGTTGCTGCTGCTGCTGCTGCTGCTGCTCTTTCCCCGGATTCGCGAGACATGCATGTGTGGTGCTAACTCTGTTGAGGAAAGTCCTTCTCGCATTTGCATTTGCATTTCCATCTGAAGCTGCACAGTGTCTCTTCACTTTCCTTTTTTATTCTAAATCTTTCTGGGTAGCCATTCCGAAGGAGAGTAGGACTCGCTGGGTGTTGGGCAGAAGATCCTCGTAAAGAAGCTACTATACCAAGTGAGGCAAGGTCGAGTTGGGGGGGAGCATGGGAGGACGGAGGCTGTCGGTGGGTTGAGATGGAGGTGCAAAAAAGAAGAAACTACCTACAGTTGAGAGTTGAGAAAATGATGGAGAGAGTAGGGATCCTACTTATCATATCGCAAGCGCTTGCGTACGGGACTACTGAGGCTCACGAGGTTTAGAGAGAGCGTGATTTGAGTTGACGAGACATTTCGACTTACGCACCTCACTTACACACATCACTTACCCACTCACTCACCCCACTCAGTCGGTCATTGCCTTACGAATATCCGTAATCTCCAACCATACACACGCACACACGCACACACGCACACATTGATCCACATGCAGTGTGTGGGGTGCATCTCTGGCCGCTGGATTTGGCCGAAGCACCGGGTTTCTGTGTCGAATTTCTTTTACACCAAGCTCACCTGTGGGTGCAACGGGATTCGCTTGCTTCGCACAGCTGGCGAAGGGAACGGGCCCCAAGCCATTGCCGTTAAGGGTGAACCGGAGATGCTGGTAAGAGCAGTGAACCCAAGATGCCTGCGTCCCGAAGCACTTCGGGCGGTTATTCTGAAGCAGAAAGGGCTGACCGAGGAGGGCCTGATTAATACCGCCCATGGCGTGGTGATGTGGTCGTGGTCTTGGTATTGAGAAGCGTCTTGGTATTGAGAAGCCGAGGCCGGGCTGTATTTGTATGTATGTACACGTCTGCCACGGCGCCAAAGCCTTCCGGCCAATGGCGACTTTGCGGTTTGACTATCAGCCCACGGAGGAATTGAGAAATTGGCTCAGAACCACGAGGTTAGACTTCTTTCTGGCTTCAATTGACGGACAGTGCCGTAACAGGCGGACGAGCGGTCTGGCTGATGTGTGACTAGCCCGCTCTGTCAAATTGTCAGGCCAAGCGGCCGGCGGGTAAACATGGACCGAGAAAAAGTAAATCCACGGAACGAGAGGCTACGGCTCCGCTCCCATCGAACCTCACCTGCGCTGGTTCAAGATCTCTCTCTTACGTCTGCAGATCTGAATTTGGGTCACCGCCATTGGCCAAGACCTTCCCGACGAGGACCGCGAAATGGCTCCCGAGGCATGCCGAGCGCAGCGTACAGGCTCCGGGCGGAGGACGGGACGCAATGGACTTGAACGGATGAATGCTTTGTAGCATGCAGTGCAGTAGCGTTTGTCGGTCTAGAGACCAGGTGTGGAGAGAATGGGAGACTGCGACGAGTCTGGCGCCCGGCGGGATTGGGTGCGGTTGCGGACGATATCCATGTTCCCCCGGACGAGGCGACCAGGTAGTACGTCAGGCAGTCGGTGTCATGCCTCGTGGTTGTGGTCGGGCCCCGTGTCGTTCAACCGATGAGAGAAGGGGAGTACGGGGTGAAGCGTTGCTAGCCCAGTCGCACGACATGTTGGAACACCCAACGGTCAGGGAAGGACCCCGCAGAGCAACGTTGGCACGTCCGTTGTGGTGGGAGGAGCCCAGTTGCGGTTGGGGAGGCCGTCTCACGGCGCATGGGGACGCAAATGGCCGGGACGTATTGCCTATGGTGGTATCTGGGGACGAAGGTTCTTGTTCCCTTCTCTCAAGGCACTGGACAGTGGAAGGGCCGGAAATGGGGACCAACGGCGAGGCTGGTGGTGGATGGGTGCGACGGGTGACGGGTGATGGGTGAGTCGACGGGCAGAAAGGTCGATCGAGGTTGACGTGGCCGGAGATCACTACAGTAACCTGGTGTCAGTGAGTGGCGCTCCCGGCCCCACTTCTGAGCCACGGAATTGTCCAGCGACAGAGCAAGAGCCGGCGGGTTCCTGCCTTGCTAGGTCCTTCCCTCCACTGCGGAAGGTGCATTGGAGAACACAGCTTCTTGCTGCAGGTACTCCTACCTCATCAGCTCAACATGCAAGTACCTCTCGTTGCCAAAGGTACTTGCCGCAGGAGCAGGTTCAGCCGGAGCCTCTTGCTGATCTGGCCATCTACACCTCTCCACTTGAGCTTCTTCAAGGCCGATTTTCCTGGCCTGCTGACCAACATCCAGATATCTCTTGCTCCCCCGGGAAGGCCGAATCACTCCCCAGTTCGGATATCATCTTTCTCATTCTTCCTCGCCACATTTCCTCTTGACAGCCCGCAACTTCCCCGGCTCAACCTTCACGTCGAGTGTGGCATATCCAGCCGGGCCAGGCCCAGCGTGCAAGAAACCAAAGTCGAGGCCCATTCTTTCTCATCAACCTCTCATACACCATTCTTGGCAACTGCTCACCTTCAGCCGTTTTTGGCCTCCTTGGCACTGCATATTTCATTCGCGAGACTTCCTCATTTCGCACCTCATCTCTTACTTCCCCGCGATACCCTTTTCTTTCCTTGAGATACCCCGTAGCCCCCGTGAGTCCCGTTATCATGGACAGCTTCGACAAGCTCGCTATCAGCGAGCGGAAGATTATCGTCGGCATCGACTTCGGCACCACCTACTCCGGAGTAGCTTGGGCTGAGACCCAACGCTCCGATCGGCGCACCGCCATCACCACATGGCCCATCAGCAAGACGATCCACGAGGGCGAGTCCTCCGACAAGGTGCCTACTAAGCTCAGATACAGTGGGGACGAGGTTCAATGGGGCTTCTCTATCCCCATCAATGCACCCAAGACGAAGTCGTCGAGTGGTTCAAGCTGTGAGTGCCTGCTTCTGCCTGTCAAAGCTGTACGCTGAATGACCAAAAACAGTGACCTCGACCCTTCCCTCCAGAGCATGGGTCAGGCTGTCTCCGCAGAGGGCAGGGGAGGTCGCAATGTCGACAAGCTAGTGACGGACTATATTTTATCTCTCGGCGATCACCTGTTTTACACCCTCCGAGAGAAGCTGGGCGAGTAAGTCGTTAAAACGACCCTGTTGGAGTTCGTCGTTACGGTGCCCGTAATCTGGTCCGACCTTGCTAAGGAGAAGACGAAGTAAGCGTGCCAAAAGGCTTCAGGTTTGAGTAGCACTAATGCGCCGATTCACCTCGTCTCTGAGCCTGAAGCTGCCGCCATTTATGCTCTGCACGGCCTTGACCCCTATGGTCTCAAGATCGGCGACACCGTGGTAGTCGTTGACGCAGGTGGTGGTACTGTCGACCTGATCTCTTACACCATCACTGGGCTGAAGCCGATCCTGGAGGTCCAAGAGGCTGCTCCAGGATCTGGTGCCTTATGTGGCTCGACATTCCTCAACATGCGCTTCGCCAAGTTCTTGAGGGCGAAGCTTGGCAAGGAGGAGGGCTTTGACGACGATGTCATGGCTGAGGCCATGGAGCAGTTCGAGAAGAAGGTGGGTTGATGAGTCTCACAGGAGAGCTTACATCTGACTGACACCACGCAGGTCAAGCGTCAGTTCACCCTCGGCGCTTCCCCAGAGGAGACGTACACCATTCCCATTGGAGGCCTGAACAACAACAAAGAGCTTGGAATTAACCGAGGCCGCTTTGCTCTAAAGGCATCCGATTTATAGATAATTTTTGAGCCGGTTGTTTTGGAATGTATTAAGCTTGTTAAGGACTAGATTACGGCTAGTAACGTATTGATTCGCGCTGTCTTTTTAGTCGGCGGATTTGGTGTATCTAACTACCTGAAAGAGCGTCTACGGAATGCCATCGATAGAAACATTTAGATCATGTAACCACCCAATGCCTGGCAAGCTGTTGTGTAGGGAGCCGTTATGAAGGGTCTTGTATAGGTCTCCCCGGATCGTTTTACCCAAGTTAAGGTCCAGAACCGTAAGGCTTGGAAGTACTATGGTACCGAATGGCGTATGAGGTACGACGCCAAGATCTACGGCTATCTTGAGAATAAGCGATACTGGTGCGGTCTCGACGGATGCTATAAGGTTTATACCATAGAGTAGTTCATCTAACGTGGCGATACCGTCTCTGAGAACGAGCCTTTTTATACTTTTTTTATCTAGACCGGGCTGATTAGCTAGGGTCGAATTAAGAAGATTAAGATGGATATCTATGTAGATCGTTAGCCTTGTCTAGCTCTCGTGGCTCGGGATGACAATATTTCCATGCTTGTTCACGTGGAGGCTGACGTCAGCCACATCCCGGAGCACATGCTCGCTCGCCGGCAGGGCTCTGATGGACAGTGGTACTACGAGTTAAGTTGCAAGATTAAGGCCGTTTACCTGTCAGCTTCGACCACATACACGCTGCTTTACAACAGTGAGTTGTCCAGTCCATGTGTACCTTCATTCAAAGTCACCCGCTGACACCTTTTAGATCAACGATATAACACGGTGACTGCAGAGTATGTCTAAGCATAATCGGAAGGATGGAAAGGGTCGGTCAGAAGACTTTCTTAGAGTACGTGGATTTGTACATACGGCCGGTGTCCGGGTATGGAGCGGTTTAGCTGGCCGAAGCATCGTGTTATTGGCTTCCTTACCTGTTAACATGTAAGGTGGCGTTTGTATTCACTTAATCAACGATTGTTGGGTTGCTCAAGTCTAGTACAAACTCACTGCTGCAACGTTTTCACCTCTGTTCTCAATGGTTGGCTCGATTTGAATTCTACAAAATGGCCGATACCTCAGCTTCCCTTTACTTGCCCCCTAAGGTAATTGCCCCGTCTCCTGCCACAGATCACTGGCGTTGGCCTTGAAATATTTCTCGGGCGACTTTATGACAAAGCACAGGTCGAGACACCTGATCTGGTGTGCGTCGTCGCCTTCTTAGGACCCAACGCAACAAAAGACACCATGACCTATGTTCAAGAGCCCCGGCCACCAGTGGCTGAAGCATGGGCCGGCACGGCTTGTCCCTAACCCTCAGCGGGTATTGGATTGGGTACTGCCTGTCACCTCAGAGAGCTGACCCCATTCACACAGAGCTGGGATGTGAGAAATCATCCTGATGAAGAATGTTTTGAGCACTGTCGGTAAGATAACGGGCATTTTGTAAGCCCCGATTCACTTCAGAGCTTCAATTAGACGTAAGATATCTATGTAGCTTCGTGTAAGCTCGCAAACCATTCGATGAGATACCCTACAAACCATCCAACCAAGACAGCTCTTCAGCATTACCCCTTATTGCTCTTCAGCACCAGCACAACAGACAGGATGGCTCGTCACGCTCTGCCTCTATCTGTGATTGGCTCCCTGCTGAAGACCAATTACGCACAAAATAGTACCACACTTTCCATCCCGTACGAGATCACTTACAAACTCCCTTCTCATTTCGACCGAGACATCTTCTACACCTTCGCCAACGGCACCAAGACGGCGAACGAATCCGTCAATGCCCTCCTCGAGTCCGCGTCAACAGCCCCCATCATGTCGTGGCTGACCAGGTTGCTGCGTCCTTTCAAACGTTCACGGGAACTTCTTCAGGAAATCAAATTGTCAACATAAACTATTATTAATTTGTCGGCGAATCACTTGATCACACGCAGAAAGAGGCCTTTTCAGCCCCTATCGATGGATCATTTGACCTCCCCTGACAAATCATAGAGCATTCAATTAGACAATGAAAGAAATCGAAGACACAAAAACCATCATCAGTTGAGAGAATTCAGCCTGCAAGTAAGCTCAACACTAGTCGGGGCACGTGTTATTGGTCCCTTCCCAAGCGGGCAAGAGAGCTGCATGCCTCAGTTACACTGGCTGCATCGGCTTCTCTCAGATGGGATATAAGTCTTAAAACTAGCGTGATCCTTGCCTCCATGTCTTTGATCTCCCAAGTCTCCATAAGGTATCCCTCGCTAAGATGGAAGCGCTTGGGGTTGCGACCGGTATCGTCGGCATCGTCCCACTCTGCATACAGGTCATCGACAAACTCAAGGAGCATGCAAGCAAGGAGCAATTGGTGCATTCAGATTCATATATCAAGGATATGTGGGCTTCTTTGGATTTATTGAATATGGCCAATGCCATTGTGGATCAGGCCGACTCAGTTTTGCTCAGCCCACAGCTTGCGTTGTCCGACATTTCTCTCCATGTCAATGACTATAACCCGGAGCTGCGAGGAATAGAACGCCGCCTATCTGGCATTGGAAAGTCAGTTTCTAAGAGATCATTGAGCAAGGCAATTTCTCAAAATTTCGAACTGACACCACAGACCCGCATGCGCTTCTTTCACAACATCTCTGGCTTGCTGGAGGCCTTTGAGAAGTATGATTCACCACCATGGAACTTCACATTGGTCATGTATGCTGGTATAGGACTGGGTGTCTTTCTATAATGTAATTGATCAGGGAGCTTGATCGGAGTCACACGGAAGGACTGCAGTCTATAAACACGCTGGTCAATAGCGAGGATGTCCTGGAGATTAACAGAAAGCTGGAGATTCTTTCTAGCTCTAGCGGCCAGATTTAGTGGCACTGTCACTCGGCAGATGTTAAATTGGACGAGGTCAAGTCGGACATCGGCCCCCTCAAGGCAGAGCGGTTAGACCTCAAGCTCCATCTCCGGGAACTTGCATAATCGCGCTCTTCGGGAGCAGTAGTGGGTTGCAGGCCGATGATAGCGCGTCTACTGAGAGAAACGAGGACATGTATGAGTAACCATCGACTGCTGTCAAGCTTCAACTAACCTGAAAAACAACACATTGACATACCCTATGAGTCAATCAGGCAACGCCGGCTTGAGAGGAGGGACAGTATTGTGCTTTCTAAGTTGTCAGTATCTGTTTTTAATAACTCACACGAACCCAAATTTGAGAAGCTTTTTCGAGCAATGGATTTCATCGTTGACACTATCTAGGGCTACGTGCGAGTTTACAGTTTACGCTGCGCAGATATTTTGCTCTCAGAGGGTGGTTCGTGCCCAAACTCCGTGGTTTGGCTGGGGTTCACGGCTAGCGCGCCGAGACAACACGTCCAGAACAGCACCAAAGTCCATGGTCGTTTAAATAAGAGTCAAGAAAATGACAGAGGAGAGGGGCCGCATTGGGAATAGGTACATGCAGAGAACTCTATCGGGTATAGCCAGCAGGCTGTTGCCGAAAGTGAGATCTGCCTAGTGTACCTAGGATAAGATTGGGATAGTACTAACCAATCACAGAATTATATGATTTGGTAATGAAGCGAGCTCAAGAGACCTACATTCAACTTGGGCCGTGGCTAAGGAATTCAACCATTTACAAATACGTCACTTGCACCTCTAGGGACTGCCTTTCGGCCACCGCTCAGAATATCACAAATGCAGAGATACAACGGCTGGTTCTGGTAGAAAAGTGGCTTCATCATTCCCGGAACTACTAATCAGATGTCACTTAAGAACAAGCTGGTGCAGCGACATGATCGGTGACCGGGCCGTTCTAGAAGTGAATACGAGACAGTAAAGCTGAACTAGGATTCCTTGGGGCAGAACAGAAAACCGACTCCACTCGCTTTCTGCATCTCTTTCCCCCGCGTTTAAGAGTAGTAGGAGTAGGTGGTCAACTTGGTGATGGGAACCGCGATGGTACCAGTGTACTCGCAAGTGCCGGTAGCGCAAGCAGACGTATCGAAGGGGAGAGTCGTGGTGCCGGCTCTGTAAGAGAAAACGTAGTTGCTAACGGTGGAGGCATTGACGCTGATCGCTAGTTCATCGAGTCCTGTTAGTATACCGATGCCTTCGCATGAGGGGAGAACCTGGAGACTTATATGAAGTCTCAGAGGGAGCAAAGACTTACTCTTCTTCGACCAATCAATGGAGTACTTGGTCTGGTCGTTGTAGCATTCGTGCTCGGATGCGTCGGTAACGGTGCCAGCGCAGTTGAGCGTGGAACCGCTCCACGAACCAAGGACCTTGCCCGCCGTCGAGCTCAGAGTAAAGGTCACATATCCCTTGTCGCTCTTGAGGTCGACGAAGTTGATGTAGCCGTAGTCGCTGGGAGAAACGGTCTTCGTGACAGTGGTGGAGCGAGCATCCACAGGCGAGGCGGAGGCAGAGCTCAGCATGCCAAGAATGGCAGCAGCATTGACCATGGAGAAACGCATCTTGAAAGGCGAACGATTGGAATAGTGCCGTGAATAGGTACAGAAGCAAGAGAGCGGTAGAGATGATGATGCTGGATAAGCCCGTTAAGGATGGCCAATCGGCTCCTTATATCCCATTACTGCTCGGTAGACCATGCATCGCATGATCGGTTTAGGTCATGCTTGCAAACGGAGAACTCCATATTTTGAGCGTAAATACCACTATAATATCCTGGTCACCTCGTGATGTGCCACCAACACACCAGTCTTTAACTGAATTTGTACATTTGGCCCGTTGGGTCCACAAACACAAGGCCAGAAAAAGGGGGGAACGGCTGATAACATCCGAGCATTAAATTGCATGGGCCACTTTTAAAATCCACACTCCGGGGCTAATTGGTCCCGACCTTGCATCAGCTGCTTAGTAACTGATCGTACCCTACGTTGCCGCGCGGTAGATCCGAGCCGAGGGGCTCGGTAGAAGATCGTCCTGTGCCTATTCTGACTCGGTACCAACATATGCACCTTGACTTGCCCCTTCAGCTGCCAACCTAGGCAGGTCATCAGACCCGGTCTATATAAATCGACACGTACACCCAGCGGCTAACCAAGCCGAGATAACGAACCTAAACTGCCATGGGACGGCATAACTTCTCTTTTCTTAATTCTCGGGCGAGTTTCGTGATTAGGCAGGAGGCTGTGCTTTGGCATGCTTTGCAAGCGGTGCAACTCTGCTTACATAATTCTTTTGTTGAAAATTTGGCGAGATAGGTGCCACCCAACTGTGGACAGTTAGTGCCAACATATAAACCACTATAGACATTCGTACTATAAAGGTGCAGACACTTTATAAAATAGTATTAATAAAGTAAGATTTCTACTATATATAAAAGCGTACCCTAATAATTAGTAGCATAACTAAAAAATCGACTAAGAAAAGTACTAGGGTGAAAATCCTACTAGCCGACCTTATTAAGGTAATTCCTACTATATACTAAATAATTTTGTAAATTTTTAATCTTTATAAATGACCGCCGACCTTAAGGCGCGCTAACTACTCCGCTATTATACAGCAAATCCAAGCTACCCGTTTATAACGAGAATCAGCGACGACGACCGCTAATAAGTAGCTTACGTACTTCGATAAGCCAACCAATCCAGCAACTACAAATCCGGCGAGATCGAGTTGGACTACCCGATTAACTAGGCCGAATCTTTTTAATTAATTTAGACAGCCATTAAAGCTGTCTATAAGGTTTCTATTATCATCGACGAGCCTCTCACACCGGGAGCGTAGCCAACGACGTCAACTAACATCCGCCCAAGCACACCAGAGCCTACCGCACCTACCACACCTATCCGACAATAGGCAACCCCTATGGCACCTTCGGCCCCAATAGCCACACGGACTACTCTTAGCGATTACGATACGTTAGTTCACTTTGATTTAAAAGGCATCACTGCTTCCTTCAGTAACTACACCCTTAACCCCCTACCTAACTTTGATAACGAAGAGTCAATCGAAATCGGCAGAATATTAGGTAGCTAAGACGGCGATTAACCACCCCTGGTGGCAGGTCTTACCCCTGAAATCCTAACCCAGATTACTATTACAGTTGCCCTAGCTTTATAGGCCGGTAATAACAATAATCGACAGAATAGTCCAACTAATAGTAACCGTAAGTCAATAATCCTTAAGCCTAAGGAAGTTGGATATTTTGACCTAACAGCACGCGACCCCTCTAAATATGGTATCGCTATGGGAATAAAATTCATTACTTATACCGACGTCCACATTTTCTATAACCGTCTTAAACATCTGGTGATAACCAGAGGCGACGTAGCCGTCAGAGACATTTGGTCCGCTTGTCTACTAAGTACTGCATTTACTTAGCATACGATAGAACTCACCTCCTTAGAACGGATAGCACTTGCGAGCTATAAAATAAAAATCATCACCGATACACTACAAAAACGATTTAAACAAAACTTATTTAAGGCACTAATAGCATTATATAACCGAAAACTCACTCTGCGTTATTTAAGTAAAGGATTTACTATACGACCATTCGTTTAGACTATAATACGTAATACACGAAATGCTAAGATTGACGACCTATTTACACAACTCAGAATCATCTTCGAAGCCCTTAACGGCGAGATCTAAGCTTAAGTTAAAAAACTAACTACTAATACTACACTGGCCCAATTCCTTAACCGCCTAGATAATTGTGAGAGCATTCTTATTCGCATGGCTAAAGATAGATACCTATTACGAAATAATAACAACTAAAGACAATAACCCCAGTTAGTCACCGTATACCATGCCGACACAGTTCTACAGCCCAGACCGGCTTTTCATAGACGCGGAGGACAAGGAGGAAATCCATACCCAAGTCGACGACCAGAGTTCAACACCTACTAAACGAACCGATGGTCAAGGTATAACAGAAACGACCGTAGGACCCAGAACATATCCGACAACAACCAGGTCAACAGTTAGACAAACAACAACCAATAACAGGGCTCCCAGCAACAACAACAACAGCCATATCGGCCACCCCAATTACGCATATCGTTAGCACCTTAATAATAATCTAGAGGATATAACAATTACAACAGCAACAATAACGCTAATCCCTCCAAGGCCTTCAGTTAACGTAACAACTACCGCCAAAACAACAACCAAGGATACCAACGACCCAACTACGGTCAACCTCGCCGACCATATGCACAGGCGTATATGTCCGAAGAACAAAAAGACGGTGAACAGCCCCAAGATAACGACCAAGGCGAACAACCACATTATAACGATCAGCAAAACGATAATATAAACCACAATCACGATATTACGACCCAACACGCATTGCCAAACCAAGGCCCTGCCCCACAAGACCTACGGCGGCTATTATACTATATATATAACAATAAGAACTTAAACGGCCTCCTTTAAAACAAAAAAATTATAAATAAGTTATATAATTACGATTATATAATAAAATAAAAAACGGACGCTTATAAATAAATAAAACGGACGATTATAAAAATATAAAATAAATAACCGTTTAATAAACAATCGGATAATAATAAATAAAATATTATAAAAAATATATTTATAATTAAAATTTATATATAAAATAGCCCGAGCTAGGCTTAAAGATAGATTTTTATAGTTTTTTTAATAATTAATTTTTATATTAAATTTAATAATCGTTTTTAATTATTTTTATTAAAAATTTATTTAATAAAATTATAATTAATTACTAAAGCCTTATTTATCTTACGATTTATAAATAATAATTTTATTAAAATTATTTTTATAACGATTATTATTTATAAGTATCGTAGCCTTAATTTTTATTAATATAAACTTTATTATAATTAATTAACCGTAATATTTTAATTACTTTTATTTAATAAGTCGATTTTATAAAAACTTATTAAATAATACGAACGATATTTATTTAATTTTTTTTTAATAAAAATAAATAGTTTTAAATTTTAAATACCGAACTTTTTTAAGTTAAAAAAGATTCGGAAATGCTTAATATTAAATTTAATTCCGATAAAGACGTAGTTTTTAATTAAATAATATATACCTAAATATATAAGGCCGTTAAAAAAAGCATTAAATATAATAAAGAATTAAATAAACTTTTTAATATTAATACCGTTTAATTAACAAAAACTTAAATTAAAAACGACCGTAATATTATTAAAATATAAAAAATATTTAACATTACGTTTAAAAAACTTAAAAATAAACGTTAAAAAGTTTTAAATTTCGCTAATTAAATAAATACGTTTTAAAATACTATTAATATCGTTATTACTTTTTTTAATAAAAGATAATAAAAATTTAAATTTAATATACTTATTATTTTTAATAGGACTTTTAGAATTTTAAAAAGATTTTTAATTTAAATTAAAAACTTTTAAAATTTTTATTAAAAAGATTTTAATAACGAAATTAAAAAGGTTATATACGCCGTTAACTTTTTTAAAAAATAAGTTTTTAAATAATTTAAACCTTTTTAAAAAAAGTATTTTAAAAAAAAAGTTTTTAATAAATATTTTATTAAAATACGAAATATTTATTATAATTTTAATAAGTTTAAAAAAGTTTTTAAATCGTTTTTTTAAAATTTAAATAAAAAACGATGAACCGAGCGCGATATATTATAATTTTAATAAATTAAATTAATAAAAAACTATTTAATTAAATTTAAACGTTTTAATATTTAATTTAATTTTATTAACGATATTAAGATTTTTATATTTTATTAAGGATTAAAAAATAAAGTTAAAAACGAACTTATTAAAATCAACAAACTAAACGATTTCTTTTAATATACTAAACTCGTAATTAAAATTAATAACCGCTTTTATAAAAAAAAAAAAGAAAAAGAAAATAATAATAGGAACCTAACTTAAGACGTAAATATTAATAATAACTTTAATATAACTTTAATTAAAAATATTATTATAATAAAAATAATAACCCTTAATAAACTATTATTTATAAATAATATAGCGGATTTATAAACTTTAATATAATAAAACGAAATTAATCTTATTAAAAAAAAGAATTTAAATATTATAATTACGATAAGCTAAAATATATAGCTAAAAATTATAAATAGCCTAAATAAATTTAATAACGACCTATCCTTAAAAAATAAATTAATATTACCTTTAAAAAAATACTTTATAAATTACTCTCCTAAATTATATATTACAACGATAACTACCTTATTTATTAAAATAATAAAAAATAATTAAGATAGTATTTTAAAAAACCCTTTAATAAAACCTTTATTATAATAAATAAATAAAAAGTAATTTAATATTTTAAGACTATTAAAAATTATAATAAAAAATATATTTAAATATTATTAATAATATACGAAGTAATTAAAATATAACTTATTAATTTTCTTAAATAAGCGTAAATTTTTATAATAATAAAAGGTAAATTAAAAAAAAGGATAATAATTAAAAATAAAAACGACCTATTTTAA